CTCCTGCCTCCACCTCCCAAGTAGCTGGGACCACAGGCGCCCGCCACAACATCCGGCTATTTTTTGGTTGCAGCCATTATTGTTGTTTGGCAGGTCCAGGCTGGGTTCAAGCCTGCCACCTTAGGTGTATCTGGCTGGCGCCTTAGCCACTTGAGCCACAGGTGCCGAGCCAACTTTCTGTCTTTTTATGGGGGATCTGTAGTGGTTTGGGCTGCCTAATGCTAGAGAGGTGATGATGTAGCTGTAAATATAAGGCTCACTTCTGACTTTGATCACTGATCATCTTTTAAAAATAGCACCTTTAGGATAGTATAGATTTTTTTTGTATTGAAAAGATCCTTGTTAAGCTCTTTAAAGTGATGTTAAAGGCCAGGCAGCACTCTGGGAGGCTGAGGCAGGTGGATTGCCCGAGGTCAGGAGTTTCTTGAGACTACCCTCTAAAAAACTAGTCAGGCATGGCAGGTCCCTATAGTCCCAGCTTGTGCTTGTACCAAAGTTTGAGGTTGCTATGAGCTATGATAATGCCACAGCACTCTACTCAGGGCAACAGAGTGTGACTCTGTCTCAAAAATAAATTAATTAAAATAAAAAGCAGAGGTGGTGCCTGTGGCTCAAAGGAGTGGGGCGCCGGCCCCATATGCTGGAAGTGGCGGGTTCAAACCCTGCCCTGGCCAAAAACCTACAAAATAAATAAATAAAAATAAAAATAAAAGTGATGTTAAAATGCCAGTAATTTCCTACGTAAATCTGTAGAAGTATCTTCTTCGCGTTGAGAGATCATAATAATGGTGCTTACTGAGCACATTCTGTATGCCTGGTAACTACTGTAAGTGCTTTACATATATTAACTAATTTTTGTAACAACCATGTAAGTAGACACTATTACTATAATTGTTTTGCAGATGAGAAAATGGAACCAAAGTGGTTAAGTAATTTGCTAAAATGGTCCCCCAGCTAGTCAATGGCAGAGCTGGGGTTTGGACCCAGGCAATATAGCTTTAGCAATTGAATATTTTTTCTTTTTCTTTTTTTTGGGGTTGCTATGCCTCGGGGCAGTTTGTATCTCTTGTTTGTCATGATGGTTGGAGGTACTCCCATATTGTAGTAAAGTTTTTTTAGTTATTCTGGAAAGTTTTGGGAGGCTGAACTTGTCATCATAGCCCTCTCCTAGCTCTCAGAAATAATAACATGCAGGGACTGTGGTAAGAGCCTGTTGTGCCATGGTAGCCAAATTTGGGCTTTCTTCATGATTCAACTTGATGACATTATTCAACCTTGGGCCTGGGTTGAGTTGGCAGATTGACATTGGGACCTACTCCAATCGTACATTAAAGGGGTGTGTGTGTGTGTGTGTGTGTGTGTGTGTGTTTTCATTAATGTAGATGTAAATATAAGGCTCACTTCTGACTTTGATCACTGACATGAGCAGTTAACTAGCCATAGTATTAAATTCATAAACAGACTGTCATCTTTTAAAAATAGCAAACAAGACCGGGAAGGTGGGGTGGGAATAGGTAGTATTTAAAATAGCTCCCTCCCTTCAGCTTGAGAGGAAAATGGAAAACAAGCCTGTGTTGTCTGAAGTGGCCCTGGCACAGTTCTCTGGTCTCTTTACTCTTTAGCTAGGCAGGAGGCTTAGTGCAGCCTTGGGGCAGAGGTGTGCCCAGAGTTTGATTGACTGGCTTTCCTTTGCCCTGTATTTAAGACTCACTTTTCCCCTCCTTCTGAGTCACGTCCTGTCTATTTAACATAGCCTCGGGGCCCATCTTTTTCTTCTGTAAATGACTCTTGTGTGTCTTCTGAGTAGGCACACACCTTGTATCTAACCATAGTTTTTGAGAGTTAGGGGCTCAGGGCTTTGGGCTTTCCCTTGAAACTCTGACCTGACTCTGTGATGAACTTCTCTGTTTTTTCTGGCACATGTGATTTTGAGAGGTAAACAGCATCTGTCAGTCTTGCTCCTCTCCTCCATTAACTTAGGAGC